CATATTGACATCACACTCGCTGATTGTCGGAACTTCTGACAGGTGTGAGTTGAAGAATCAAGTTCAAAAAAAAAAAAAAAAAAAAAGTTATCTTACATTTTTTGTTGTTGTTATTAAATCACAAAATACGTAAACAATTTTTTTTCCTTTTTTTATCTGGTTCTGATACAGCAAGGATGAACTTTTAGAGCGTCACATCATTTGCTGTACAAAGATTTACATCAGAACTTACCAAAAATGTATTTCACCCAAAATTGGTATACGCATTTTATAAGCACGATTATGAAAGTAAGAGGAGAATTACTTCAATTAAATCACAGAATAGATAGAATCGGCAACCATATTTGTTCTCTTTGCAATTTAAACCAAATAGAAAATATTGATCACTTCATTGCAGCGTGCTCGGTTCTGAGGGAATTATATTTTAACTTATAATGGGTCCCTTGATATGATAAATGGGGGATCTGAATGCAATCTACATATTTACAAACACATAAATATCATCTTACTAGACTCTAACATTACTCTAACTTAGTATCATATTACTAGAGCATCTCTGATAAAATAATTTAATTATTGAATATTACTATTTTTGTGGTTTTTGATGAATGCTGAGGAAGAAAGGTAAACGAATAAAATTCATCTAGGCCCCTTCGCATAGCGTGGTCACTGACACTGTGCAGGCAGCATGGAAAGAAAGGCAAGCACAACTACGGTGGAACCAATTAACCAAATTCCTTTAGTGGACTACATAAAAAAAAATAAGAAGATTTGGCAAAAAGAGAGTAAAGTAGTTTGAGTCGTTTGTTAAGTGTCATGCGTTTCATTTTAACATGTGGGCCCCATGTCATCCTTCTGTCGAAGGTGAGTCCAAGGTAAAGTACCGTGTCCGTTTGAGGAATTTGATTGTTGTCAATATAAACTGGAGGACAGGTGTTTTTTCGAAGAGTAAATGTTATATGTTTGGATTTGTCATGATTAAGTCGAATTTTCCATAGTGTGAACCAATCTTGTAGTTTAAGCAAATGATGTTGTAGAGTTAGTGAGGTCTGTGTAGGGTCTTGATGTTTTGTGAGGATCGTTGTATCGTCTGCATATGTAGCTGTCAAGATCTCATCGAATAGGTATATCGTAAGTGTATATAACGTAAAGTAGAGGGGCTAGTATTGAACCTTGGGGAACTTCGGCCAAGATTGGACGGACTGAAGATACTTCCGAGCCCTGCCGAACTGAAAAAAATCTGTCGAAGAGGAAAGATTGAAGGATAAGATAGTAGGTGTATGGAAGTATAGTCTTAAGTTTAAAGAGAAGACCCTTGTGCCAGACTCTATCAAACGCCTGAGCAACATCCAAAAATACTCCAGTTGCATATAGTTCAGAACATGAATTATTTTTTTAAAATACCAAGTATTTTGTATTTTTCAAATACAGCGTATTTTAATTTCAAAGTATTAAATTTATTTTCAGAAAAGGTTTTTAAAATAGAAAACACCAAAACTATTTTGTATTTTAATTATGAAAATCAAAATAAAATACTGTTTTGTCTATTTATTTCTTAAATGCAAAATATAAAAATTATATTTTATTTTGTACTTGAGATATTGCCCAGGTCTGGTATAGAATGCTTGTATTTGATATCTCATACCTTAACATATTGTAAGTTTTGATAATTTATTATTTTTCCATGAATTATAAACATTAATAATTATAAACATATGAATTATAAACATGAATTATAATTGAATTATAAATGAATTATAGATATTTATAATTAAAAACATATACATTATAAACATTTATAATTATAAATATTTTAAAATGTTTTATTGTTATAAAAATAGTATAGAACTTTTTTTAACGGTAAAAAAAAATTTGTAAGCTGCCAGTTATTTTATACCCCTTACCTTTGAAGTGTTTGCAAATATACAGCACACAAAAGTATTGCGGGTTAGTGGAACTTACATAACACGGCGATAAATCATTTCATTCTGAGTTGCTCCTACATTTTTTTTTCAGGATGTAATTAGTTTCGTTAAATATTTGTAAAATGCTATTAAAAGAAAATTTTAAAATACAATCATTTTGTATCAAATTTATTTCTTTGTTAATTGTATTCTAAATTCTTATAAATATTCAATATGATAAAAATGTTTCTTTTTTTCTATTGCTGAATTTTTATAATAAGTTTTCACCTTTATTAAATGTTTTGCAAAATTAATATTAAGATAGGGTATATAGGTATGCTAAATATTAATTTATTCATATTTGAGTTATTTTATTTGTATTCATTGTACAATTTTTTTTTGTTTTTAATTATTTATCCGCACCTGTCATGGTGTTGACAATCAGCAGATGTGTATTGTTTTATTTTAAATTATGTATTGTAAATGTTTTATTATTATTTAGTTTTTATTTTAATGTTTATTTTATATTTTCTGTCTATGTAGTCTTACCTAATTTTAATTATTTTCCATGTGACAGAATGTTATATTACTGAATAAATAAAAAAAATATTATGATAACGACTGGTCAATGCAGAAAGTTACACCAATACCTCTTTATATTATTAATATATCATGTTATTAATTGTTAATATATTAATTATATATTTCAGTTATATAGTATTATAGAATACCATCGAATGATATTCAGTAGTTATATTAATAAACCGAAATTAGTGAATGAAGATAACATGATGGAAAATAAACCCCTTCTCTTGCGAGGCACGCTATTACACACCACTGAACTGTAATGCGGGCTAGTGGAACTTCTAAATCACGGCGATCAATATAATTTACATATTCATAATATTAATTAGCCTTTAATTTACAAAATCTTTTTTTCATTTATCTTCACATCATTAGAGGAACCTTTCAAAGATATGAATGATAATCAGCAAATATGATTATATCAACATTTATTTTATAATCATAAAACTTTTTCTCATCAATAAATTTAATAATTTTCTTTATAATTCCGTTTTGATTTTGTGACAGGTCACGCCATATGTCCGAAAATAACCAAGGAAGTCTGAAAAAGAGATGGTTAATGCAGACACTTAAAACAATTATCTTAAATGATTGGCAGTTTTCTCATTTACATTTAAAAAATATATTTTTCACTCATATCCATTGGATGCACAATTGAAAGTTGTAATGTTTCTTTTAAAATCATTTAGATTTTATATTTTTCGTCGGAATATTATTTAAAAAGTGAGAATTTGCTTTGATAACTCCAGATATTTTCTCTCCAGAGTTTGTACTTTACAGCTAATTTCTTAATAAAATAAAATTTTTGGCGACAATGACATTTGTTACTGTTATAGGAGTATTTCATATGTGTTAATATAAAATAAAGTAAATACATAAATACACCAGCAGTAATTAATTTATAATATCCAAATTATAAAATACCATATTATTATGCTATACTACTACTATTAATATTCTTCTATAAGTATTATTACAATGGCATATTTAAGATAGTATCATTGTTTGTTTTCACACGGCCCAATGCCAAAAATTTGCATTATTATCGAAACGAATCAAATAACAACATGTTTAGTCCTTGAGGCAACTGTTCCGTGAGTGAGGAATTGTTCGCTTTGCTGATATCATCTGAAATGTAAAAAGAATTACAAACGGAGCCGATATAATCAAAGGGCCATCAAAGCCCGAAACAGCTCGGTAAGATATTTAAATTCTCCCGCCTGTCGGTCATGCCATGAATACGAAGCGACGGCTTGATGGCGGAAAGAAAGTAAATGGCTTCCCCGGCAAGAAGATGATGTGGGAGAGTGTGAGCTCATTTTGGAAAGTTTCGAACTTGATCAAATGAAGACCATCTTTCTCCTCCATACCAGGCCGACATCGGGAGAGGTAGTTTTATAATTTATTACTATTAAAAGCAACCAAACCTGTCCTTAAAATTGCAACATTCTGCTATAGATAAATTGTAAAAGTATCAGTATTAAAAATTAATTAAAGGTTTAAATGTTTTTAAGTATTTGTAAAATGATGTAATGTAATGATATACCTCAATGGGAAATAATAAGTAATTTAATAATAATAATAATAATAAGTAATGTAATAATATACCTCAATGTAAAATATTAGCTTATTTAATTAAAATATATTGTTTTTGGAAGTTTATTATTTTCTTAAAATATATTTTAAAACAGTGTTCTGAGAATAAATTTCTTCAATAAAATGACAATAATTTGATATTCTCTTGTTTTATATTATGAAAATTACCTTCGACTATTCCTAAAGAATAAAGTTCTAATTTATGTTATTTTTCCCTATAAATCATTGTTCAGTTATTGTTTGGTAAGAATTTATTTGTTTTGTTAAATTTGTTTACGTTGGTTTTATGGCTGTTTTACCTTATATTTTATATTCATTATGTTATTGACTATAAAACTTCAGATTTCAGTCTTTTGATTGAATCTATAGAATATACAGAATACATATCTATAGAATATACCAAGACTATTTTTTAGCACTGCCACACAGCAGAGGTATCAGCAATAAAGTAAATAAATAATATGGCTCTTCACTTGGTTCTTTCTCGCGTATAAATCATCTACTTCTTTCTCAATGCCGTAGATCAAATCTGTCATAATATTTATAGTTAAGCGAGGAAATCCCTCATCTAGCATCTTTAGAACCTACTACATTTAACATGTATTCTAACATGAAGGCCTTTGTTTTTTCAAGCCTTTTCGTATATTTTTCATCTTTGATTATTGGAACATTGGGCCTAGACTGTTTTTGAACACAGACGTTATCAAACAAGTTTTGGTTCTTTCTGAAATATAAATGAACTATTCTTTTCTCAATTAGATCTGTGATTTTATATATTATATTACTTATGCCAAAGACGTTGGTCATTCGACCATCCGACATCTTGCTGTTCAGTATAAGTTATATTTTTAAATACCAAATCTATTTCAAATTATTAATACAGTAACCACCCTTGAACTTCTGCTTTGATTCAATCTACGCTAAAAGAAGTTTCGTACTGACCTTGATGGGTACCTCGTCCATCTCCAAGAGCCTGAACTCGAGGTGGTCGTTCTCCTCCCGTAGCTCTGCGACGGTCCTCCTTAGTCCCTCCGCCTCTGCCTCAAGCTGGCCTATCCGCTCGGCCAGGGCCACGTTGATCGGGTTCCTCTTCTCCTCCAGCTCCTTCGACCGCCGCTCTTCGGCCCGCAGCCTCCTCGTCGTCTCCTGGAGGCACAGCTGCAGGCCGAGGTGCTCCTCCATCAGGACGCCATACAGTGTCTCCAGGCCCACCACCTGTTGGGAAAATAGTAAACCATTAGTTGTATTCCGCGGTTAGTTAAAGAAAAAAGTATAAAAATAAATCATATAAATCTACTATATATACATTATGGTAGTACATACCCCTTTTATTGCTTTCAGAAACGATGGACATAGACAAACCAGGTCTAAAAGAAAAGAATCACAAAAAAAAAATGACTAGTCTTAATTACGACCTGTTAACGCCGCATACTTGCAGATCTACATTTTTTTCTCTCACCATATTTACCCTTTTAAATGTTAATGAAGAAAATGTTTATTTATTTTTTTTAGTAAAAACTGTGGGGTAATTGTCTCAGAAATATGTTTATGTTTATATTATTTTGTATATCTGCCTTCGTTTGCGATGTATTATCGCTTGTTTATATGGACCAGCCCGGCAGTATTACCCGGTCTTAGGGATTAAGACATCAAAATACGGCCGAGGGCAGTCGTCTACCCCCACCAATCTCACCAGGCCGTCTAGTCTCGGCACATCTCATCTAGCGCCATTTTCGAGGGTCAGCTGAGTAATCGATACATATCGATGCCACCCCACCATCGATTACTCAACAGCTGAACATCGTAGAAGGTAACCAGGTGGAACCTCCAACCTGGCTCGTATTTTTTGTTTATATTATCACCATCACAAAGACATTAGAACCTTAACCAATTTTTGTTTCACCGGTAAATGAGTTTATTCTTTTGGAAAATAATTTTTCTCTCATGTTTTATTTATAGCTTTTAGAAGTGGACTTCATTATATATATATTTTTTTTTCATAATGTTTAATTGTCACTGAACATGATGTTTTATGTTTTCTTTTATTGGAATACTTATGTTTTCTTCTCTTTGGAATTGAATAATTTTTTTTCTTCTCATTTGTTTGTTTTACATATATTTTGTATCTCTTTTTTTATTTAATATAACTGTGTGAACATTCAAAAGGGGGTTTTCATTTTTCCATTATTTGATTTATTGAATATTTCTATTTTTTAATATTTTCTTTGCATGCATTTGTTTTTTTCTCTAATGTTTTACAGGTCTCATTATTCATTATTTTTTTTTTCTCCTTCTTTCCCAACGTTTTTAATTTCACTCGAATTTTCCCCACCATTGAGGAAACGCACCGGGGAAAGATCTGTACTTCAATTTTGAAGTACCCCTGGCCCCAACACGACCCATTAATTAGCAATAAAACTGTAATAAAGATCGTACTGGAAAAGAAAGTGATTTCAAAACTCCGACGTTAGTAAGTCAATGAACCAAGAAATGATTAATTGTTTTAATGATTTTGACGTAGAAATTAAAGAGAGGTTCTTTTTTAACGAACCGGGCACCGCTTTAAAAACTTAAAATGTACCGTTTACGAGAAAAACGAAACAAAAATGCATGGGCTCAGACTAATCCTTAGATTGTCTCTTAGATGCCAATGTGATATAAGATACTTTTCACATACCGTTGAGGTTTTGAAAATTGAATTATCGCTATTTAGAAAAGCTTGCGATATTTTTTTCCTTTTCATATTTCCATCCACATCTGCCATAAGGTTGACACTAGGAAGATATGCTGTAAGTGATAAGCATATTAGCATTTTGGACATAAGGAAGAATAGTACCCAGCAGCATCTCTTCCTGTTCTTGGTTTACTTCCTTGATTTAGGAAAGGAGATCTATCATCCAGCTTCTGCTCAGTCGTCTTCTGGCATCGTGACTACGAGTAAGTCGGTTGTGATGTTCGTGTAGTTTAAGATGAAATATGGAGTAAAGAGTGCGTATTTGTCGGTCAATAGTTGGTTGCCGTACGTACCAGAAAGCTGTTGTTATTAGTCTTAAAATTTTGGATTGAAATGATTGCAGTTTTTGCGTCTGTTTCACAGAACCGTAAATTTGAGAAGCGTATGTCCATATGGGTTTGAGTAGGTAAGTGTGTAGCCTATGATATTAAACTAATTTTTTTTGAAAAGTAAAACAAATAAGAATAGCCACAAAATTCTTTGGCTATATCGGATAATATTTAATTTATTTTTGGTTGATAATATTTTTTGGTTTGTATCTTCATTTCTTATATCACACTTGTCAAAAATATTGACAGTCAGTGAGTTTTGTATTGAAAAGAATAGTATTAGCATTGATCAGCGTGAAGAAGCGGAGTGACCATGAAAATACTTAGTTCTCGCCGGGGTGTGCTTCCAAAGCTTTAATTAATCAAAACCTTTGACCTCTAAATAGTCTAATTATAATTTAAATAGAGCATGCAAGTCATAAGGTTAATAAGTTTGACCTCAGAATAAATGAAATGAAGAAATAGTAGTGAATGGAGGATTACTTTGGTTGCGGTTCATTAATTTCATTGTGTAAGAAATGTAAGATGATGAGTAATCTTTTAAATATCCTTAGGAAATTCATTTGCAATTTTCCTTCTTATCTCTTTCTATGTGATCCACTAACATTTACCGGCTCTTAATTGACATTTATAGACTCCTCTTCTCCTCATTCTTTTTTTAAAATACCGAACTTAGTCGCACTGCATCAATCTTTTTTTATCTTCTTCAAACTTTTATCTGTTCCTCTCATGAGCCTGAAAATATTTCTTCCTGTCTTTATTTGCTTTTTTAATTCAGAAAAGGAGATCTCTCACCCAGTTCCTTTTTAGTCGACTCCTGATGGGCATGTCAGTTGTAGTCATGTCGTTTATAAGTCTATAGTTGTGTCTTTGTAGTTAAATATGGAACCGGAAGTAAATAGTAGGCATGTTTTTCTCGATAGTTAGTTGTCGTAAGTCGGCATGTAAAGTTTTTTTTTCTTTACTTGTGCCAGGAAGCTGCTGTTATTATTCTTAAAAATTTGTAATGTAAATGATTCTAGTTTTTGTAAGAGCTAAAGTAAAGTTCTTTCGGCTGAACCGGAAAACTGTGAAGCATATTTCTATGTGTATGAACTTTTATTTTCTGATTTCCATTGAAAATTTTGATTTGGAAAAAAGTGGGTATAGCATGTTTAATTGCTTGTTTTTTTTTTGTTTTTTTTTTGTTCATTTTGACGTGTATTAGCCGGGTTCTTCTGTCTAATAATAAGTGAGTCTAATTATCCTAAGTTAATCCTTGAGAACTCCTCCAACTTAAATTAATGGTCCGCTCTCTTTCAATATCAACCCCTTTGCTTTATTTGACCGTATTATTAGTATCGGAACAAAATCACGTTGGGTTTCCCTTCCATTACGCTCCTGTCTTTCATAAATTTAATATTTAAACTTAACCAACTTTAATCAAAAGTTAATCAACACACGTGGACAAACGATTCCATACTAATTTACACGGACATACTAACATACTAATAAAATATATGACTTCAGCTGACGCCTATCAATACGAGGAGGTGAGTAAAAAGGCGCTGGGTGAGAGACTTACTTCACTGACAAACCATGATAATTGAATAAATCTTGGGGAGATTGCTGACTGCTATCCTTCTCCACGTGATGCTATTTGAAGATAAAAAAATATTAAAGAAATAAACTTTTTATAAACAACAAAAGAGGAATCACAACAAGAACTGCTACTTGTTAACTCAAATTCACTAATATTCTTTGTTGGGATAAAGAGGACTCTTGATGATAATTTAAAGCTATCCATTGAAAATCATTCACCAAGAGATTATTGCAAAAAGCCTTTAATCCTTAAATTGTGATTGAAAGATTCAATTCTCTACCTCGAAATTTGATACGTAATAATAATAAAGACACACTGTTCCTCCATCATCAGTCCAAAATCAATATATCATCTCCGATGACTTAAGAAGAGCAGAACCAACCGACGATGTTCCACTTCTTGCAGAGATCACTTTGTTCAATGTCGTGATCGAACAATCCTTCACGCTTAATCCATTTTACTGAAAGCTTCGGACCGTCGCAAAATAAAAAAGAATAGCTAAGTTGTATAAAAGAAAAACAAATGATTTATTCTGCCTCTAGTGAAATTTAAAAATAAATATGGACTTTCCAACATTAACATACAATATACCTACGATTCCCAATACATATAGTAAACAATTTTCACTAATCACACACCTTCAAGGAGAACATCAGAGAAAAAAATATAATTATTTGAAATACAAAGTAAGTTGTCTTTTCAGCGTATAAAATACCTAATAATAATAATGAATAAGTGAACTTATAATGAATAATGTAATATGTAGTTATGATATAACAACTATGTCAAATGAATATATACCCACGCGGTCAAATAAATACTATATATTAAAATATTATTTTATAACTTAAAGTTTTTAGGTGATTTTTTGTTGACATAGTTTATAGATAGCTTCGTTATTAAATCAATATGGATACTTTGTTCATCAAATAAAATGTTTAGATAATAATGACAGATTTTAACATTCATGTTAAGACGTTTTCCGGAATATTTTTAAATTGTATATACATATATCTATCTGTACATATAAAGAGCTGTATTCAATGGATACATCGATTGGTCAAAAAGCATAATTTTGTAATTTTTTTCTTAAAGTACTTTTGTTAAAGATATTTTTACAGTATATCTTTGACCATATTATTTATTGTCATCATTATCTTTTATTTATGTGATCATTATCTTGTCAAAACACAGAACATGAATTTAATAATACAAAAAAAAAAAGTGTACAAATAGAATAGGACAATTATTGAGAAACTATTATTCCTCTCCAGTTTTTGTTTATAATTTCAAAATGTTTTTAGGCCATTATGTAAAAACACGTCAATACGATCTAAATATTTTGGTTTAAACATATCTTAATTGAATAATATTACACTCTGTCACAACACAGGACATTAGCAAGTAGTGACACAGGAGTTCATTCACACCGTGTGTTTACTAAATAAAAATAAATTTAAGATGAGAAACAACAATAATAATACTAAAAATAAATGGATACAAACAAAATAAATTTAAACGAATTAAAATAACAAGTTAAATGCAAGCATACTTGTATACAACATTTACAAAATTCATTCACTCACGACAACTCTATACCAAGCTTTTTACCACACTCGTGAAAGGAAAACAGTATTCTAGGAGATCCCAGCGCCTAAGACTAAGGACTAGTGGAGCCTGAGACGTTATAACCATCTAAATATTAAAAATTAACAACGATTTGCTTTTCAATCGCAAGAATCGTTAAAAAGGCTGATTTCCATTCTGTATGTGAAACGTATAAATTTGGGCTTTATAATAATTATCGATGGTTCAAAGAATTGCTAGTCTGAAAACTGCTTGGTGGTGAGAATTTTGAATTTGATAGATATGTTTTGAGATGAGAATTTTAAATTCAGAATTTACCAATTTAAATATTAAACAGAACGGCATTTTCTTAAGTTACATGATCTAGTTTGTTTATTGCAAAACGAAGCCTAGGAAAACGTTCTAAGGAGAGGAGGAGGAGACATGGAATAGGAAGAGGAATAGAAGAGGTTATGAAACGGTATCCTGCGGTTGGCTGCATCCAATTCACTATGTACTTCGTCTTCGGCTAACGGGTGTACCAATGTCTGCAACAGAGTCAGTCTAAGGAGACCATAAACTTGTTAACTCCGTGTATTAAAATTTCTGAATACTACGTTAGCGTTAAGTTTTTCAGTAATTTATTTATTTTTCAATATTTTACTAATGCTTTACAATTTATATTAAATTGGGTACACAATTATGGCACACGAGTACCCACATACGGATCTATTGGAGAGGGGAGAGAGGGGAAGGCTTTCAGGCTGAACTTTTACATCAAGCTTATACATTTAATATTTATTTGAGTCATTCATGTCATAACGATATTTATACGAACAAATCACCGAAAATCACCAAATGCATATATATTTTGTACACCTTTAAAATTTTGTAAGTCATTTAAAACAAATTTACCTCATGGAATATATTATAGTTTTTTTGAAATGAAAACTTCATTGAACTTTTTTTTGTGGAGAGTCATTAATTAATCAATTAATTAGATTGAGCCGTCAGATCCCCGATTCGTAACGCTCGGGTAAAGTCGGCTGGAGTCGACTAATTGTTTTTGCATATGGATTAAAATATTTCGAAAACTAAAAATCGGACTTGCATATTGTTAGCGGGGAAAATGTTTGTCATTTCATCGTCTTTGTAATGGGCTGTTATTCAAAATTGTATTCTTACGCGACGCCATGTTGGAGAGGTAAAAAGTGAAAAAAAATTGTTGAAAACCAAATGATAAAAAGTTTTATTGAAGACATGGATTAAAATATCTCAGAAACTAAAAATTGGGCTTCCATAATATAAGCCAGGAAATTGTGCAGCATTTCATCTTCTCTGTGATAGGCTATTACTCAAAATTGTATCCTTACGTGACGCCGTGTTAGAGAGGCGAAAAGTGAAAAAAAAAATTGTTGAAAACCGAATGATAACGAATTTTATTGAAGATATGGATTAAAATATCTCAGAAACAAAAAATCGGACCTGCATACTGTAAGCGAGGGAAATATTCAGCCTTTCATCCTCTTTATAATGCGCTATTATTCATAGTTTATATTTCATATTATTAATCTATCTTACCTTGTTGATGTTTTCACTTCCATCGTGTGATATAAAGCACACATTTTTTTTTTTTTTTTTTTTTTTTTTTTAGTTGCCGTAGAAAAAATAATATGATACATAAATAGTTAATTACGCATTATTATGAGAAAAAAAGACTGATTATAGTCTTTCAAATTTCCATTAACTATAAACATTTTAAATTGCCTGAAGACGATATCGACATATGAAACATCAAAGTTTCAACTGCAAAAGAATAAAAAACATTTTGTAATTTATAATTTTTAGTATCTTTAAGTATGGATATTATAAATAAAAATGTGAAATCTTAGTGTACTGGCGGATTTAATTTTTTGAGAGAGGGGCTTCGGCTCGAAATGTTTTTTTAACGATAATTACTTTGGAAAAAAAGTAAACTAACTACCAATATGAAATGGTGCTTAAGTGATACTTGAAGTCAGTCCAGTAATTAATTATTAATTACACGAACAATAATACTTTAAGAGATAATTTTTAAATATTTTTTTCCATAAAACATGGTTACATTTTACCATTTGGGGAGGGGATGGGCTTGAACCCGAAAGCTTCCCCCTCCTTGTAGAATTGCCTGTGGCTTAGTATGATATGGTATACAATCCCGGGATTATTTTGTTTAATATCCAAAAAATTATTAACTATGAAATAATATGTATTGATTTTTTTTCTATAAATATTTTGTATTAATATTCGGTTTTAAACGAAATTATAATCATAAATATTTTGATAGTTTATTTATTGATTTATTCATGCTCACGAGATGAAATAAAGGGATCCGAAATGAATACCCTATTTGTATTTTTAGTTTTTTATATTTTATTAGAATTGCTTAAATTTAAGGCCAAGAAAGGAAAGCATTTTTAATTATCAATATTTTTCGTTAGCAATGTGACAGATTTTTAAAATTTTCTAATATTCGCGTGTGTAATCTGGTTAAAGAAATTCAGTTCAGTATGTAATTATTGTCAGTAGGCGATTTAATAATAAAAATAAATAAATTTGGTAATAGCTACATTAATTAAGGAAAAAGCTTATCCGGTAGACGTCAGTCCCGCTTTTTAGTTCTTTGCCTTAGAATGTCAAAAAGTAATGGAAACAACATTGATTAAAAGCCATCAATCAGAATAAAATAATGACGATGGAACATCGAAGCGGAAATTGGAAGATGGGATAGCCTAGGCCTTATCAATAAACTTAGACAGGACCGGAAAAAGCTTAAAAGGAAAAAGTTACTAAACGACCCCGAGTCGAGATAGGCGGTTTCGGATTGAAAAGTACCATGGTAACTTATTGTATTATGTACAGACATAAACTAAGTAACAGGTTTAGTTTTACATAAACTGCTTATAAGGAAATACATTTCTCGTGTCCAATGAAAGAAAAATATCAGTAAAACACACTTTTTCAAGCATTCGACAAGCAATAACGAAAATAGGAGAAAACAATTGTTAGATAATTCTTTCGCCTTTTTTATGCCTCTATAATCGCTTCTAAAATACTCAAGTAATGATAATTTAAGATCACGCAGCCATTTACCGCTCAATACTTCCTCGATCGAAGTGTAATCTTTATATTTAATTTAATATTAATCCTTATAATAAAGTATTTTTATAATGGTACTTTTATGGCCAGAAATTTATTCTTAGCACATTATCTCAAGTTCTTCGAACAAAAATAAACCTAAAAATTAATACTACTCACTTTGATTAAAGTATATAAAACCAGTGCTGTAATAATGAAATTATGATGCATAAAGATTAAATGGAATTATTTATTTAGCCCACCTTTTTAAAATTAATAGAAATATTTTAAATAAATGACTGAAATTTAAAATCATCAAAACTTAAAATTAGAAAGAAATTAAATACCTACTCTTAACTGCTCGAATGAAAATTGAGATTAGTGTCCATTCTCATGTAAAAACACCCAAAGAATCCGATGGTGTAATATATAAATATATTTTTTAACGAACGTAAATATAAATAAAAAAAGGTTTTGTGAAAATAAGTTGAATTCCAAAATCGGCCTTTTATTAAAAAGGAATGTAATGAAACTTACATTTTTTAAGCATTCTAAAAAAAAATTATCAAAAGCTCTTTAAACCGTTTTACTCCAGTGAAAATTAAAAATAAATTTATTTTATAGTACCATTATTTCAAACAAAAATTATTTTTTTTTTTAAATCCTACACACGCCTCACAGACTTTACAACATACAACAAAACTAAACGATTGATGCAAACTTTGGAAAATTCGACTCAACCAAGATAAATCACAACACATCACTTTCACTCATCGACAATGTCGAAATTCCTCAAACAGACAAAATACAATATCTCGGACTGACATTCGACAGAATAATGACATGGGGCCCACATATCAACAAAAAAAAAACTTTAAACCTCAGACTACGACCATTATACTCACTTCTCTCAAGACGCTCAAAATTAAACCTAAAACAAAACCATAATACTTGCAATTACCTGCTTAAGCCTAAATGGACCTACGCTTCACAAATTTACGGGACAGCCAAAACGACGCACATATGAAAACTACAAGCGTTCAGGGCCATAACTAAAGCTACATGGTATGTCACAAACATTTCTTTATATAAAGACCTTCAAAATCCAACAGTTAAAAACCACATACGGACACACTACAGACGATTTTACAATAGCTTACATGGACATACTAAGACACTTATACAAAGTATAGCTAAATTTAAAATGTCTAAAAACACACTTAGGAGGCTAAAAAGAGCTGGATAAGGGATTTCATCGCTTAAAAGGATGCTAAGTTCAACAGGAAGGGATGTCGCTGTGCATTTCTTAAAAAAATATTGATTTTGACATTACAATTATAGAAAACATAGTTTTTAAAGTTTCATGAAAAAATGTTAATAATGATTACAGTTTACTTTGCAGATAAACGCCTCATGTCATATACACAATTTTACCAATAAAATATGTCCAATTAATTTAATTGCAATTTATATATTGCTTTAATAATTTATTTATTATTATTAGGATTTATTTAATTTATCGTTTTATTTTAATTTCTATAATTAAAAAAAAAAATCATTGGTTTTTGTTTAAATTTATTTTTATTACTGTTATTTATTTTATATTTTTCTTAGACATTATTTATTCTATTATTATTCATGCATTCTACGGACTTTATTAGTACATAGTTACAGGCAAGATGTATCGATAGAGGTGTCGTTTGTATGAGACTATACCCTCACTTAGCAAAATGTCAAACATTTACTTATTGTTAATATACTCATGTATGGCTCACTAAGCTGATGTGGAAATGAAGAATATATAAAAAGAATACACATATAAATGTATCTATTATTTATATTATTTGATCCATCAAATAGTTTCTATTATTTCCAAGCTCACAGAACTAATTGCCTTTCTGGATAATTCACAATATTCTACCTGTATCGAAAGAAGGGTTTAAATTCTAAAGGCGTGTCGTGTATTTTTAAATACAACAGTCTAAAATGCATATAATCTATATGACTATCTCTGATGTACATGTTTTCGTTGTATTAAAACTAAATATATTTTCTCCTTCATAATACAAGAAGACTCTCTTGAAACGAAAGTACAGCACTTATGTAATAATAACCGTAACATTATTTACAGTAACATAATATTATTTTACTTATGAATTTAATATTATATATTTAAGTACGATTAAAAGCCATGAATTCTGAATTCCCAAATAGTGTTTCGTTATGAAACATTCAGAAAAAATGTTTTAGTTTTCACTGCTGCTATAAGTCTTACTATACTACATCGGCAAATTACGTTACACCATTGAAGTTTATCTTGGATAATTATAATTTCTATATTAGGACTTAATAGACCCGGAATAAGTTCCTAAGGACTGGGGACTT